TTGAGGTCATGGGGCTTCCCCTGACCTGGATTCTATCTCTCCGTCACCGGCAGAATCGCTGATTAATGCCTACAGTTCAAAATAGTCATTTTGACTGACCGGAGTCTATGGTGGGTATGAACTATGTGAATAGGCGGGTTCGAAGAACCCTCGCCTAAATCCATAAAAATGTTTGTTTCTTTATTTTTGTAGTCAATGATGTTTTTCACTGACTAGGAAAGTATTTACTTATTCTACTCAATAGTGGTGACTATAAGAAGCTATAACTGCTGTTTTTATATTTTCCAGCTCTGGAGCACATTCCTAACTCAGTGAAACTGTGGAAGTCTGCCGTGGAATTAGAAACACCAGAAGATGCCCGCATCTTACTCAGCAGAGCTGTGGAGTGCTGTCCAACCAGTGTAGAGGTGAAATAAATGTCTACTTTTATAATAGTCTAATCATCCTTATAGATAAATATATACATAAAAATAAAGAAATCAATTTTAAAAAAATACTTAGAAGTTGATCAACAAAGTTTTTTGGCGTCTTGTACAATAATTCATTACAGTCTCTTGTTTGAATTCCATTTATGGGTTGCCTGAAAGTATAATACAATAGTAAATGGATTAATATTCATATTATATCAGTTTCTGCGAATCAGTGAAATTAGTAAAATCAAAACTCATAGAACTCATTGTCAAATATACCAGTAATAATTTTATAGTTCTGTGTTGTTAGAGTTAGCATTAGGAACATGTACTGTATTATTAGTGTTAAGACAAGTGTTACAATATTATGTTATATTCAATGGTTACAGAGATTAATATTTCAATTATTTATCATATATTCAGTTGTGGCTGGCGTTAGCAAGACTTGAGACGTATGACAATGCTAGGAAGGTTTTAAACAAAGCCAGAGAGAACATCCCAACAGATAGATTAATATGGATTACAGCAGCAAAGCTGGAAGAAGCTCATAACAATACAGTGATGGTGGATAGGATCATTGAAAGAGGTCAGTATGTCAGGGATCAACAGGTCAGAGGTCACACATCCTGGTACTTTTTGAAATGTAACAATTAACGATTCTTTCTTAAACCAGATTGTTTTTTATTTAAGTGATTCCTGTTCACTATTGGGGCCAATATATTAAGTATTGATCTATTGTCCAATAATGTAAAGCAGTGACATCACTTAATGCCCTTATATGGACAATACCGGTAGTATAAATGTTATTATGTCCCACACAGCTATCACCTCACTGAGAGCCAATATGGTGGAAATCAACCGAGAGCAATGGGTGAAAGATGCAGAAGAATGTGAAAAATCAGGAAGTATTGCAACATGTCAAGCAATTATGTAAGTATGAAAGCATTACTGCCAAATGCTCTGATGAAATATAAGAGTTGTTTACAGGAAGGCCTGAAGTAGTGTTTGTCAACTGATGTGACAGTCAATAAACATGAGTACTTGTATTACTATGCAGAATCATTCATTCATTTTCACTGTCATTCTTTGTGACTGAGTATGAAGTCTACACCCTATATTTATAGATTTTCTCAGATTACTGGTAGTTATCGTTACAGTTTACTGTTGAATATATCGGTACAGTTTACTGTTGAATATATCAAGTTTATTTAATAATATTAGTAATTCTTCTTATCTTGTAGCCGTACTATAATAGGCATTGGGGTTGAAGATGAAGACCGAGAACCAACCTGGATGGATGATGCTGATACAGTGAGTACTCGTGACTAGTGTATACTACCACAGTGGTAACATGCATACTAGTTATACTAGTAATATAGTTGTAACACAAATGACAATGTCAACTTTTCCAAAATAAGTAAATGGAAATTATGTCCATTTCATCAAAGATTAGTAAAGACATTATCGAAAAATCAAAGATATTGTGTCAACATTTTGGTGAAAGAATTTGTGCCATGTAAATAGCTATTAGATCAGAATGTTTTGTGAGATTATTGTAAGGTTGTTATGAAG